GACGTGGAAAGACAGATACAGATTGGCTGGTGAGGCATCATGAGTGGGTCATATTGTGGGAGGATCGACATCGGCGCCTTCCCCTTAGAGAGCCCATTTTTGATGACCTCTTGATGGTTGTTGACGGTTATTATGACTGGTTCAACAGTAACGGGAAACCGTTTATGCTTCCTGATGATGCACGAGGGCAGACCTTTCAGCGATGTTGATAAAGACATTCACCGACACAGCACCATCGTCCCTCGACTCGTGTACGGAGAACAGGTGCATTCAGTTCGTCCTCAGCTGCACCAGCATGACCTTCACAGCAGCCATAGTCTCCAGCGACTTATATACCACAACCATATATGATGCCGCCACTGTCATTCCCTTACCCGATGCCACCGCCGCCACCGTCACATGGTTTTATAACCCCGCCACTGCCACCGTCACAGAGTTATATGACCCATCCTGGAGGATATTATGGGTCTATGTTTGTAGATCCTACTTGGGGTTCATATACTGAATATTTGGCGGGTGCAGTCTCATCACCTATGGCAGCAACACAGACACCTCCTGTACAGTTTTCATACTCAGCGATGTCTAGGTTTTATGAGTTTTCCCAGTTTTCGCAGGCCGGTGGGATAGTCAGTCATACACCTCTAGGGTCCTTATTCTTTGGAGGTCCTTCATCGTCATCAGCTCCTCCTCAACAAAATGTAACTGCTCAGGACGACGACGACGACGACGATGATGATGGTAATGATGATGACAGTGAGGAGTCACAACCAATGATACGAAGAAATCATCCTCGAGACCGACATCCATCGTCTTGTGGAACACATTCGCGTCGCATGCATCGATAGATTTTGTTTTTTTTATTATATTTGTATTCAGTTGTTTATTGGACTTTTTTATTGTAATTTTTTATTATTTATCATTTAATACTTACTTTTTTCGTTAATGTGGTTGGATTTATTTTAATTTATTTTGTTAAATTTGTTATACAGTTTTGTTAATGTATTTTGGTTAATTTTGTTTATTACCATTTAATATCACTTATTGTTATTTGGTTATCATTTACCATTTAATACTTTTTGTAAGTTTGTTGTATTTAAAATTATATTCAAATACCAAATTGTTATTAGTTTGATAAAATTTAATAATTGTGTTCTCAAACTTTCTTCAGTTTGTCACTTATTATCTCTTTTATTATAATCACATATAACGCCAACGTTCAATCTCGTTTTCTTGTATCATTTTTTACTGTTCATCAGCGGTTATCGAATGACATTAACTTTAAGTAAATGCAAATTAAAGTACAAGAATTATTATTTGATAAACAATTACATCATGTCATCATCAATTGTTACTTGATGACAACAGAAGTGGACATGTTTTTCTAGTGTGTCCTGGGTTTCTACAATGTCCACATCTTCTGTCTTGTCTAGATCTTTCTCGAATATCCATATCGCAATGAATTCGATTGGATTTTGGACGACCATACTCCCTTAATAAAATTGGATTTAGTATAATCGGAAGCCAATCCTGAACCTCATCAGGGTCTTTATCATTACCTATGGGGGGAACTCAAATTCGTACACCTTATAAACTTCATATAGTAGGTATATGGGATCCACAAAACGATTATAGTCTTGACGCATATGCGAGCAAGCTGCTATCACATGAGAGCATGGATACTTCAGAGCTTGAAAAGACCCGCAGTCACACGTTCTGTCCCGTATATTTAGTCTTAACGACACAGCTTCAATCCCTTGAAGAGGTCGCGGCAATTCTGTGGCACGAAACATTTCACGCCTTCTAAAGAAGTCAGATACAGACATTCCATTTGATGCAGCAATTTTTTTTTTTGTAGATCTGTAACTAATCTAGGGTGATAGACATGACCGCCTTGCATCCAGGTTTGAGCTTGTCCCCCGAGCTTCGCAAAAAGCGCCCCCAAATAAAAATATATAGTTTTTACCAAAGCCACTACAGGTAAGTGACGTGCACCCTTTAAGGTTGAATTGATTGCCTAAGCCAAGTTGGTCATCATGTGTCCATATCGATATCCACCATCATATGCGTTCGTCCACATTTCTTTATCGATGAGGCTGATGTAATCGTATCCTTCCTCGTTCTTCAACCGCAAATCTTGAAGCATTGATTCAAACGTTCGAGGAAGTAGTTCGTAACCTGATCAAAAAATGTATAACTTAATAACTTGCTTTCTTTTCAAAATTAAAATGATTGAAAGAAAACAAACTACATCAATTTCACTTACCCATGCGCACAATTAATTGACGCTCATCATTCTTCTTGTACCTTCCATGGTAGTTTGCAACAATGTGTCGGAGATAATACATATGTTAGACAAAGGGTGGTTGCCACATTGGACCCAAAGACTCCATTGCTGCTTTGATCCCAGCTCTGCGATCTGAAATGACACAGATTTTTCCCTCGTGATAACATGTGCACGTAAGTTTCGGAGGAAAAAAGCCCAAGAATTTGTATCTTCTCCTTCGACAAGAGAAAAAGCAACTAGAAGAATGTTGCGATTGCCATCTTGGACAACTGCTAATAATAAAACTTGCTTGTATTTTCCATACAAGAAAGTCCCGTCGATCTGGACCACAGGCTTGCAGTATTTGATAGCATTAATGTACTGTGGGTAAGTCCAAAAAACCCGGTAGAATTGGCATCGATCGCGTAGAAATCGGTCATTATGGTATGCATAAGAGGTTTCGAAGTCCACAATTGTCCTAGGATTCAATATCCACACCAGCCTAAACCAACCTGGAAGTTCGTTTTAAGATGCATCTCATTCGCCATGAAGTTTGACAATGGCATTTTGTTTTGCCAACCAAGCTTTTTTATAGGAGACAGTGTACCCATACCGCGATTGTATAGCTGAAATCAACACTGCAACAACTATATGAGAGCTTGGTTTTACCATGGGTATGATGGCTTGACATATCAATTCAGAGTCCAAGTTGGGATGATCTTGGTTGACCCCTCCAGCACAACATGTGTGAGGACCGTTGTATATTGTTAGTTCCCATCTGTTGTTTTTCTTCTTCCTCTTCGATACGTGAACCATCCAATTGCATCCGCTTTTGCGTCGGACATAGTAGCATACATATTTTTCGGTCATGGAGCGGTCGACTCTAGACTAAACAGAATTACGAATATTATAATTTTTTATAGCCATCATCGCTTCTTCTTTGCTTGAAAACTCCATGCGTAAAGATAACTCACCATTATTTATTGATGAGTAATATCCATAGCCATCAAGATTAGACATATCCGCAAATTCTTGCTCGTACATTGCACCATAATCAACTTTATACATGTGTGCATGAGGGTCAGTCTGTGCCACATTTCTTGGAACTTCATCTACATCATCATCATCGGAGTTGAATTGTAGTGATTCTGGGTGAATGAATAGTCCAGTCTCAGCACCATCCACACCACGCTCACGAAGCGGTTCTTCTGGTAGAGATGATAGTTCCTCCATGCTCTCCACATTTAGGTCGAAGAACCTACTATTTGCACGACTTCCCCTTGAACTTTAAGGCATATCGACATTGAGATCGAAAAAACTCACAGTCGAATGCCTCCTCCTGAAGCTTTAAGCCATCGTGTCAAATGGATAGTGCACAGATTATTGCGTCGATGGCATCTCCATATTAAGGTCAAAGGGATTTGCAGATGAATGCCTTCCCCTTGAAATGCACGCGATGTTGCCATACGAATTGTTCGTCGACCCACCTCGGTACATATCGTAAGGAGTTGCGGATGAATGTCTCCCCATTATGATATTAAAATCATTACACATTACTGTCGTCGGGCTGTCAACTTGTTCAGCCAGCCCATAGTGGGAGCTTAATGACTGACCCCGAGCAGCACGCACTTGAACAAATTTTGCATACATCTCAATATCGGCGTCTGAATAATTACTTTGAGATTCAACCATCACTTCAACATCATTATTGTTCGAAAGTTCGAACGCTGTATAAGTTAATGGAAATAATGATGTTGGAAATCTGTACTGCAACGACGACATTCTTCTATTACTTCTAACATAAACCTTCCTCGAAATCTTCGTTATCAGCTTCTCAAAAGTTATGTTTCTCTTTAATGATATTTTAACACGCTCATTTATACGAAAACAACGCCCGTTTCATCTTCTCGAATTTCACCATCATAATAAACAATAGCTAAAAGTCGTGTCATTCTTTGAGTTTAAAAGTGCGACTATTATATCTGCAAAAAAACAACTGAAACAAACATGATTAAATAAATAATGTATGAACGAAAATATAACATAATAAAATTTTTACACATAAACGTATAATATTTTTTCAAATAATCATAATAAACAATAAGAATAATAACAAAATTATAACAAAATTACCTTATAACAAAAAATCGCACGAACTTCAGAATCAAATATGAGAAGATTGTCGGAATTATTGACTCGTTGACGGAATTGTTGTATTAATTTATAAGTTGAGAGGGGAGATGTTAGGAGTTTACTGGGGAGAAGGGTATTTATAGCCGAGAAAAGTAGTTATAAATATACAAGGCGCGGTACCTGCACCGCTCCTTATATAATTGTATTAGTTAAAGCTAATGCGCGACCCCTGACCCGCGTTATATATAATTGAATTAAAGGTAAGGCTCGGCCCGTGCCCTGCGCTATTGCCCTACGTGACGTAAGTCACGCCTCAGGGGTCACGCTTTACACACGTGTAACCCACATCAACATAAGGCGCGCTCCAGGGCACGCCTTACTCCACGTGACGCCAGATCAACGTAAAGTGTGCTACAAGGGGCGTACCTTACTAAAGGTGTTAGATCAAAAAAAATAGTCTGAAGGGTGTCTAACAGAAAAAAATAAATGGAAAAGATGATATATCAAAAAAAAAAAACCTTAATCATTAATATTTTTTAATAATAAAATATAATTTATTTTTTCTATATAATAATGCCAAATGCAAGGCAAAGAAGCAATCGCTCGAACCCTAGGATAGTTTGGTTCCTTGTCATCTGGTTTAGGCTTCAGGTCTTTCTTTTCCCTATCTTCTTTTGATCAGGTAATTTTTTTTCTTTTAATTTCATAGATCTTTTTCCCTAATTTTCTATTTTTTTTATGTTTTTGTTAGGTCAAATTTGCGTGTTTGATTTTGATTTCATGAGCTTCTTCCTGGATCCGTTTTTTTTAATTTCGTTTTTCAAAATATTAGTTGTATGTATGGTATTTTAATATTATGATCAGATTCGTCTTTTCATGATTTTCTTATCTGTTTTCCGTTTTATTGATCGACTTCAGCGCAAGAAACGATCTGTTCGTTTTAAGATTTTGATTGGATTTAGAAAATTGTAGTTTTATTCTAGTTGTTTTGAATTTTATTTATTTGTTTGTTTTTATGTATCAATTCGTTACTTTTTTGAACTTTGGTTAAAATATGGTTAATGTCTGAACTTTCTTATTTAGTTCTAGAGTATTTATCAATCTGAAGCCAATTTTTGCTTGCAGTTGCAGGTTAATTCTCGCTGATTTTCTTTTAGGGTTTTTAGGTAGACAATCAGAAGCGAAGTGGTTTCAATTTGGGGGTTTCACATTTTGAATAGTGAGGGATTTCAGTAATTGTTTTATTGGAATTTGGAAGTTGATTTTCACCTAAAAGCCGTAAAGAGGAAAGAGGGATCAATTTGTGAGGCCAAATATTGGTGATCATGCCGGTATCTGGAAATGAAGAGGTGATTTTTAATTTTCCCTTTTCAGTTGCTAGAACCTAAGCTCAGTGAAAGTGTTGCTAGATTTTTGTTTGTTTTTGTGTGAACTTTGATTTACTTATGTTTTGTTGGTAGGTTGGGGTTAAACCCAGTGTTGGGCAGTTTAGTGAATACACTGCTGGTATTCCTATAAAGAAAAGAAGGTTTCCCTTTATTTTGTCACCTTCTCAACTAGCTGAAAATCTGCCTTTGCTCCCCACTGAAAACGAATTGGAGCGGAAAGGATTTTCTAGTCCACTTCGAGGTTTAACTGTTTCGACTGATACTATTATTGCAGTGAGTTCAGACCCCACTGATGTTTTATTGAGTTCACATACCAGTGGTGTATTATCCAGTTCGAAAACCAATGTTATTAAGGCTGATGGTTCTACAGCAAGTCTGGATACTGGTAGTTTTGTTGCAACTTCTAATGCTTCTAGTGTTGCAACGAGTTCTACTAGTGTTGCCACAAGTTCTAATGCTTCTGGCGCTGCAATGAATTCTACAACTATTAGTGCTGCAGCTGGTAGTGTTGCCACAAGTTCTAGTGCTGCAATTAGTTCTACTTCTAGTGGTGTTGCAGCTGGTTTGAATGCTGATGGTGTTGCAGAATGTTTTAATGCTTCCAGTGTTGCAATGGGTTCTACTGCTATTAGTGTTTCAGCTGGTTCTATTGCTAGTGTGGCCGTGGAAAATCCTACTGCTAGTAGTGTTGCTGGAAGTGTCTTGGCTAGTGTTTTGAGCTATTCTGAAGCAAGTGCGAAATCTGTACTCGAGAAAGAGAAGAGTGCTTCGGATGATACAAATGGTAGCATGGTGCAGTGTAATACTAATCTGCTTAGTGTAAAAGTTGAAGAACAAAGCTTTACGGTTCAACCTGGGTCTTTGGTTGATATCAACAGAAAAGGGAAGCTTATGGCAACCGGAGCATCCAAAAATACCCCGAGGACATCTGCAAAACCTGAATTGGACTTGGTAGGCAATGATTCTCTCACCTTTAATATAGGGAAAGATACTAATAGTCAGAAAAATGTAGATGGGACTATAGGTTCACAATTACCTGAAGTTCCTGGGAACCCTGGATTATCTTTAGGTCTAGGGGAATATCTTTCTGCTACGGCTAGTGGAAATAATGAGCAAGGTTTTAGGAATCAGGAAAAGGAAGAATCTGTTTCCTTGAATCTATCTTTAAGCAAAGTAGACTGCATTGCTGAACTGAGAACTACAGAAGTCCATCCTAATACTAAGGGTGCTAATATGCTTGCTAATAGAACAAATTGGGATTTGAATACGACAATGGATTCTTGGGAAGGACCTGGTGGTGATAATGGTACTAGTAAAATGACTAATCATATGGATGATATGAAGCCGGTAATTTGCTCAGCTGGGATGGCTGCTGCAAGCATGCCTGCACAGCAGCAAATGCGTGAAGAAATTGAGCGCAGAGCCAAAATTGAAATGTTACCGGTTCCATCTAGCCAGCAGTATAGATCTGAGGATTCACTTTGTTTGGGCCTCACTACTCCTCATCTTCATTTGAGGCCCGATGAAATACTGTCAGGTTCATCAGCTAAAGTTGCAAATATCAGTTCACCTAGGAAACCAGTACCTGCTTGCAAGTCGAACATGGTTAACTACAAGCCTGTAAAATCAGAACCACATGATGAGAGCACCAGGGGTGCTTCTGCTGGAATTTCTAAACCTACGGTCTTGTCAAATATCACGCAGGTGAAGTCTGAAAAAAATGAAAAGCTGAGTTCAGAAACATTAAAATCTTCAACTCTTAGTACCTTAAATTCAGTTGATTCTGTATCCGTAAAACCTGAACCAGTTTGTGAGAGTAACAAGAAATCACAAGAGATAATGGATGGGCAAATGAATCAATCAGATGAGCAAATGCTAGCTAATGAAACAGAGCCCATTGATGATGGTCACGTTGCTTCTAAAATAATTTATTGTAATGGCCTTGATGTTAATGAATCAAACATTTCTGGTACACTAGATAACTCTATTAACCATAGTACGAAGGTTGAAGACCCTGATCATTGCAGACTGAAATCCATGGATGTACAACTGCCTGATTCACGGGGATTGGTTGAGGGTTCCGTAAGTGAGGAAAAAATTAATTTATCGGGTGATGTCTTAGAGGAAGATTCATATGGTTCTGATTACGAGTTGGATGACGGACAAGAGTTAGCTGCTGTTGTGGGTATAGATCATGACCGTAGAGAAGATGACTTTGAAGATGGTGAGGTCAGGGAACCTGTGGAGAACCCCGGGACAGAAGTATGTGAGAAGAATGAAACAGGAAATGGAAATAATGGTGATACTGCCTTTAAGGATATTGTAGATCCATCTTCATTCTCATTTGGAGAAAAAGATCTAAGAGAAGACCCAGGATTAACAGGTAATGATAATACTAATGAATGCATTGACACATCTGTCTATAAGGATTTGACTACCGAAGCTGATAAAAAGGTCTTTATGCAAGAACCTTCTGCCGTTGAGATGCCTTCTAGTCAAGTTGACAAAACGAGACCTATTAAAGCCTTACCAAGAAAATTGCCGGATGTATCTGAGAAGGATACTGTTAAAGGGCAAGAGGGAGAACAGACATCTATTCAATTCTCTGATACAAGCCAGGGTACTTCAGTGACCATTGCTCAAGGTGCAGATGCTGCCAGAAGCTCAGAAGGAAAAATCAAGTCTATTTTACCTAAGCTAGAAGAATTTTCAAATGTTGATGATGCAGGTAAAGATGTTGACAATGGAGGTAGGAGTCGAATTATAAACTTGTCTCGAGCATCTAATCTGTCTTCTCCTGGTAGAACAAGATCTATTTCAGGCAGGGCATTGCAGTCACAAGTAGGAAGAGAGAGGCTGCCTGATGTTGCCCTGGAAGGAGATAAGTTGCATCCTCGAGGGAGGTGATTATCATGTTTTGTCATTGCTCTGTTTTATTTCAGTTTGTTTATTTCACTTGATGAGTAATAAATGTCTGTTATAATTTTTCTTTATTCTGACAATGTTTACCCACAGAGATGAAGCTTATGCCGACAGTTCACATAGATTCCCAAGGGAGAGATATCATGTTCATCCATCCAGAAATAATAGAATGAATTTTATGCGTGGAAGAGGTAGGATTTCCAGTCGGATAGTCACCCAGCACGGTGATCAGGATTCAGATCGTAACTTTGCAGGTCCTACAGAATTTCGTGTAGTGAGAAATAAATATGCATCTGCTGTTTCTGATGCAGATCTAAACTTTAGTGGCTATAATAACAGGCAAGACGCTGCATATTTTGGTACAGGACGAGGTGGGAGAAAGATCTTGAATGATGATTCATCAATTTTCCCCCAGTTACCCCCAAGGAGGCGGTCTCCTGGTGGAAGAGATGGACCTGAAGTACGTGGGCTTCAAATGGTTCGCAGAATTCAGAGAAATCTTAGTCCAAGTCGATGCATTGGTGAAGATGGATCCGATATAGTTGGATTGAGGCATATGAGAGGTTTTGCTGATGATCATACAAACCCAATGTTTGCACACTGCCAACCATCATTTGAGGGATTAGATGATCCTTTTGTGAGGGGGGATAGGGAATTTACATCTGTTCAGAGAAGGGATCTTCAACAAACTTGTTCAAAGTCTCCTACCAGACCACGAACTCGTTCTCCTGGTCCATGGTCTTCTCTTAGGAGGAGATTACCAGATGGATTTGGAGGGCCTTTGGAATTACCTCATCAAAGATCTTCACCAATTTACAGGATGGAGAGGATAAGATCACCCGATCATCCCTGTTTTAATGGAGATATGGGTATTAGAAGACATGAATCTCCTTCATATTTGTCTCGACCATCGAAAGATTTGAGGGACATAGATCCTGATCAAGATCATGGTCATCCAAGGTCTGGCATCTCTAATAGGAGCCCATCTGGACGGATTTTACTTAGAAACAGAAGGTTGGATCTTGATCCTCGAGAAAGGAATGACGGTGATGATTACTTTGGTGGGCCTATGCAATCTGGCAGGTTTCAAGAGATTGGAAATGATGGGAATAGTGAAGAGAGGAGGAGGTATGGTGATAGGCGAGGACCTGTTCGTCCTTTTAGGCCTTCATATAGTGTTGCTGATAGTGAGAATTTTCATCTTAATACTGAGGGTGGGGTTAGATCATTTAGGTTCTGTCCAGAAGATGATTCAGAGTTGCATGAAAGAGGAAAGGTGAGGGAAAGAGAATTTGATAGACGAATCAAAAAGCGACCAGGGAATGCTCCTCCTAGGAGGACACAGAACATTGAGGAGCACGAAGGAAATTTCAGGCATGGTGGTCAAATTTGGCAAGATGATGGATTCGAAGATATGTCACAAGTGAAGCGAAAGCGATTTTGAGTAGGTTTCTTTATGCCATTAGTCACTGTCAAATGGTGTAAGTTATTGGAGAAGCAGGGCAGAATCTGTTAATTCTGTTTACTACATGTTTAGGGATACTATGTATAATGTTTACCATTCTTCTCTGTTTTCTGCAAATGCTAAATTCCCTTGTTTTAAGGTGTAAAATAAAATTTGGAAGCAGATAATAGAGCGATCACTCAGATGGTAATTGTTTGTGCAATGGAAGTATACGAACTTTGCCTGAAGAACAGATCAAGACACTCATCTGGCATGTTTTGAATGACTCCAACCTTCTCTGTTATCCCTTTGGGCTGTGGCAGAGAAAATGCAAGTGCTTGCGTTTTTAAGATTGAAACGAAGTGGGGGTGTGGCTTGGTTTATCTGTTACCACATGAATAAATTCTCTTTTGTGCATATGCTTCCAAGTTAATCATCACTTCAGTTGCAAAAAATGCCATGGCTCATGTGATCTGTAACTCCGGATCCAATAGTATTTGTTTAGATGTCATCTCTGTATGGTAACATAGCAGGTAAGCAACATTTAAGGGGCAGTTGGATATTGCCATGAAATTTGAAAACATAGTTTAAGAGAAATGAAGAGGCATAGCTGTAAATGCCTGCATTTTACTGAAATAGCTGGCCTTAAGAGGTACTTGGACTCTCTTGTTTCTTCTGAAAAGGACCCAAGTTTAATGAGCCGATAATTATTGGATTTGGTCTGGATTTTACAGGTTATTATTATATGCCATGTTTTCTTTCTTGAAATATTTGTGTCTTTCATATTTGGTTCAACATTAGAACTTGGGCATGAGGATATATCATCTCTTGAAGGACTTCAAATACTTGGGAAACTTGATCTAGTACATTATAAGTTCGCCTTACCATGAGATGGATAAAACCTAGAACAGTTTTCTTCGGCATTATTGCTTCAAGTCAATCATGGTTGCTATCATATTTTCGGATTGTTATTGGGTCTCATTTGGTTGTTCAATACCCGAATTTAATAGGGGTCTTAATCTCAGAGCTCAAGTATGAATACGTCAATAATTAAATTCAAAGAACATGATGCAGATTCTTCATGCAATTTGCATAACAAAATGTACCAATATGGTGCGGATAATTTATTCTTGTTACAATATCCATGGATATTATTGATTGAAAATGTTTGGGGATTTTGTTCTTCGGCTGAAGAAGAAAACAGGTGAGCTGTTGATCGATGTGTTCCAGAGGTACCATTCCTTGGATTTAAGTGAGGGCTTTTCATTTTTTTCCTCCAGTTGGCTTCGGAAAATTAGCTTTGTTGAGGTTATGGTCCAAAATAAGGAAGGCAAGCTTAGGCACTACAAATTTGGTCCGAATGTGATTACTTGAATCAGTTTATCCTATTTGATACTTGGCATACTTGTATAGATCAGAATATGATAGCCAAACTTGATTCGATCGAATCAAATTTGACTTGAACCAAAATTGTCTTAAATTGAAATTGACTCAAATTTTAGGTGGACCAATGTGGATTTGTATCCAATTTGATATGTTTTGAAAGCAACGAGATTTCAAATTAACTCGAACCAAAAGTAATTTGAATCGAAAACAACCTAAATTGAAGTTAAATTGATTCAAGAGTAACTTGAACTGAAATTAATGTAAACCAAAAGTAATTCAAACTAAAAGTGATCTAAATCGAAAATGATTCAAACTGAATATAATTTGAACTTAATTTATAAAATTTTATTTGAATCGAACATCGATATAATTTTTAACTTGAAGAATATAAAAGTGAATAAATAATTTATTATTATTATATATGTTTTCAATGACCAAACTAAGCTTTTTTTATTCTAAATGAGACATCAACATCTTTCACAGCTTTGATCGTTTTTATAACTCTAGTGGGGTGCCCTCATAGGTATTTCTGATCAGTTATTGTAAGGCAAATAAACCCCGGAGGACATAAAAAACACTTATTTTCAATGCTTAAGTTGGCAATGAGATTTCCTTTGACCCCTTCGACCTACTTCATCTGGTCTTGAGTGATCTAATCGAGAATAGATTGATGTGACCTTTCTGACTACATTTTCTTACACGCCCTTTTCTAGCTTTGTTTCCATTTTCGAATGTTTTTTGGAATTTGATGTGATGATGAAATCCTTTATGAATTAATTCTGTTTTTAATGATAGATACATGTTTCACCAAAAAATGCATAATGCCAATGCAAATGTAAAAATGCAAAAGATATTGATCCCAAAGGTGAATATCAAGGAATAATTTTCATTAATCACGAAATTTTTAGTACATCAACCAAATTTTACATATAATGAAAGGCCTTAGTTTCTAGTTTCTCTACTTTCAGAAGTCAAGTCGGCTTCCACTTGTGATTTGGTGTCGAGTTGTTATCATTCTTAAATTCCGTTGCCCAATCAGCTAGGTTGAACATTTGACGAGCAATAATACTCGCTTGAGTATAAATGTCTTTAGTGACATTATCTTTCTTCTCTAGTTTCTGCTTCAAACCTTAGAGTTGTATATGCCAATGCTTTCATTTGAGTCTTAATATGATCAAGAAGCTCTTATATAACATCTCTAGCCTCAAACATGATATTTTTTTTTTCAATTTCTCATTTTCAACTCAACTAACTTCTAATTCATTATCATTCTTGCCATTATGTTCATATGACCTTTCCACCCCAACTCTAGATATATTCAACATATCATTCTTGGTTTGACATATCTTCAAATCCTTTATGGTGTTATTGCATTGATTTTTTATGATTTACATATCATGAAAGAATTTCTTAACTTGACTTCGCTACTTCTTGCAATTATTTTTCCACCATTCGAGTTCTTTCTGTAGATTGATGAGTCCCTTTGTCAATTCTTCTGGCCCATCACCCAAACCAATGTTCTTGAAAGCTTGACTGAATCTTTGAAAACCATCTTGCATGGTCTTTAGCTCTGTACTCAAATCATTCTTTAACTGATTTAATTGAGCTTCATATTTCTACAAGCACTCTATTGTGTGTCCTTATTGGTTTCTTCATTTTCAAATTCCTTTGAATCTTTATTGGTTTGGTCAGACTTACCTTTTGTCTTAAATTCGAGTATTCCAAATTCCAAGAGATGTTAAACTCGTTGCTTGAAGGTGGTGCAGTCTTCGATGGAATGACCTTGATTTCCAGCATGATAATTACACCGAGCATTGACGTTATACCATTTTGGATATAGAGGTTGCAAAGGTTTAATGTACGGTAGGGTGACTTCTCGTGCCTCTAACAGCTTATTATGTAATTGTGTATACGACATAGGAATATGGTTAAAACGAGGACCACTATATCCATATTTTTTATCTTCTTCTAAATGAGATCCTTCAGAGCGAGTATAATGGTCTAGAATTGACTTCGAGCATTGAATTATCATTGCGGGATTCCGATTCTTCCTCTTTTTTACATAGTTAAGTATTGAGATTTTAGAGAATACGAGTTCTCCAATCTTGAAACTCAATACTTTTTTTGAACGAGATCTCTGACTTTGTGTTTCAGTGCACCATAATTCGCGGTGGTGTGCCCTAAGCATCCCAAGTGATAACCACATTCTACATTAAAATTTGACCTTTCGTGATAAAAAGGTTACTTTTAGCTTGGATTGAATTGGTGTCACAAATTTTCTTTCAACAAGCAGTGGGAAGAAATTCTCATACCTTATTGAAATCTGATCCAAAAGCTTCTTTCTATCTTTGCTTTCTCGATCTTCTACGATGGTTGCCCCTATTCCTTTTGATTTGGACACTTTTGTACCTCCAAATTGTTTGTTGATATGAACGGTGACAATATGTGTTTCCTTGGACTTACTAGGCTCACCCTGTCCTATGATTGACCCTTGACTATTTAACATTGCTTTCACCATATGGGTGCTTTCATCCAGTTCATTGTTTTCTTGTCTATTGATACACTTTCTTTCGGCCAAGGTAATTATCTCATTCACCATCTTGGACATTTGTTTCTTCAGTTCTTGAATTTCATTCTACTCATGTTGATGATTGCTTCTTCTGGTTTGTTTGGCACATGACCCTTGAATGAATCACTTCTTACTCTTCTTGGAACTTCTTTAGGATACCGCTTCATAATTGTGTCTTGGTCTATTCGATCGCAAAACCCCTATCTATTTATGAAAATTTTCTAATTAGATAGCCAATTGTGGGTCAATACATTTATGCCATGATGATGTAAATGCAAATGCAAATGCAAATGAAAAAAAGGTACCAATTCCGAAAGTGGTCCCATAAGAACAATTTTCATTATAACACAAGGTTTCAATATGTCAAGTAGTCACGAATAAGAACCAATTTGACAACCCGATTGAGAAACCCTTTTATTATTATGAAAACCTTCTTATTTGGTTAACCACTAGCGAATTAACACCATTTATATTGTGATGATACGATGCAAGGAAAAGAAAAAATAAACTAGTATAAATAAAATAAAATGAGTGTTTCACATGCTATATACCAAAACATAATTAAAATATACCATACCTGCACATGATTTCTACTCTCATGCTTTGTTCGGGAAAATAAACCCTAACCGCAAGATTTATAGTTTGCATGTTTTTGCTAGTAAAATAAAACAGATAAGGGTTAAAGTTGATTTCTCCTTTATGTAAACCTATTCGAGAATCTCCAAGGGATAAAGGTACCTAAAATATCTTTACTGCCACCTACTTGGGCTAGTCAGACCCTCGATCCTCACTCAGCACAAGCTCATATGACCAAGTTAAACTCAAGGGGATGCACTTCCCTATGCCTAACACATAGAAACATATCCCACGAAGACATAAGATGTGGACCTCGAAGGTTACTTGCTAGGCTTGACATGAAGAAATATTTCTCACGAAGGCATCGCTTTCACCCTCACTTAAAAGAGACGATGATCGGGTATAGATCTTATGTTATGCAAATGCAGTGTTGTGTCTGAGAAAAAAATCTAAAAAATAGAGTGCACATATCAGTACAACTATTTACAAAAGAATAAAAGAAAATACAAACAATCAAGTGATTTAAGCAGACATAACAAAAAAATGATCAATAATTAAATTAAGTCAAATTCCTAATTTCCATTGCAAATACAATAATTAATCAACTAATAGATTGATTCTCTAAAGTCCTCAGTAGAGTCGCCAAACTGTCATAACATCTTGAAAAAAAAATAGGGTTTATTTAGAATAAAATCGGGGTTTCCTTTAAAAAAATAAAAAAAATGGTTCTAGGGAGTCGTTACATATCTTTGTTTAGGGTGTGATTGGATCACTCAAATATATTTTGTTATTTTAATTAAATTTTAATGTTCACATAAATAAAAGCATAAATCAGAGAGATTTTTTTCTCATTTTTTTTAAAAAAAGAACATAATAAATTGTAAATTAAATAAATTCAAACTCAAGATTTTCAAATCTTGATTATAGGGTAATCAACTCATGTCTTGACTCTCTATTTGTTTTAGAAAATCAAAATGTCCCCAGCGGAGTCGCCAAACTGTCACAACCGATCCTTCGGAGGGAAAATGACTAGTTATGACGATGAGGTTTTTTGAAAAGATTTTGAAATGAAATGTTTGAGTCGTCACCAATCATTTTTAAGGTGATATTAGAACACCTAAAATCGAGTAG